ATAAGTGAAGGACGTAACGCGACAATTGACTGGAGGCACCCCAACGGAACAAACTGGGGAGGTTCTTGTACAGAGTGAAAGCATTGCTGCGGAATGGGGCTACAGTAAAAAAAAGGAAAATAATTGCGTCAAAACGCTAAAATAAGTTGCACAATTCTATACTGAGGCACCCAGAGACAGATTGTGGGCACGAAAGAGAGAGAGTAGACGAAAGAGCAAAACGGGTGAGAGAGCGCAGACGCCACTATGGAACTGTCTACTAGGGTCACAAACTATATCCCGTTCTCCCGGCTCTAAAGTGTGTAAGCAGGTTCTAAAGTTTTTTTGCTGTGCATTCCAGAGCCGGGAACGCTATAATGAGCAGCTTCGTTTTACCTACCGGAAAGAGTTATCCATTTGAACTCACCCTGGGTGGTTCTTGAGGAAGAATAAGGAAAAAAGAAGGAAGGAAAGAAAGATACAAGGAGCCCATTGCAAAAGAATCCAACTCAGGAACTGGGATGCTCGATCAATTAGAAAGCTAAAATGGTTGAACAATCCAACCTACATGAAAACCAGGAAAGGTATGTAGAAAGCCCTTCCGTAAGAGTAGTGGAAAAAATAAATTTTCTAGTTCATGTTTGGCAGGTGAAAAACTTTAAGGTCCTAAAGTAACCTATAAAGCGCACTGCTTGGAGCTCTATAATCAGTCCTAGCGCATTTTTGAAGTCCAAATTTAAGATGCTGATGTTAACTTAAACCGACAGGACTGGAATGGAGTCAGATGCTCAAGCGTTCCATTAGAGGATGAGTGCACCTTTGAAGAGCAGCAGTGATGATGACGTGATGTTTCAAATGGGCGAGGGCCACCAGTCCAATTACATTTCGCCTCGGGGCGTGGAGAGAAGGATCGCACTACTTAGCCGTAGCACGAAGGCCGATGAAGTGGACAGCCGCGTTTCTCGGAAGTAAGCCAAAGCCATTTACGGCCATGCGAATCCAGCTAATGAGATTGTGGCGTTCACAATAGGCGTTAAATCGAATGAATCACATGGAATAAGCTTCAGTGAATAAATTTATGTGGACCTCCCTCGTTAAACGCAGCAAAAACCCCGAAACATAATCAATGGCTATAGTGGGTCAGCCAGAGATCCGAGCAGATCTATAGGATAAACGCCCGGCTCCTCCGACTTACGGATGTATCAGGTTTCATAAAGTGAAATCCAACCGCTTGAGAAATCAAAACCGGAAACTAAGCCACAAGGGCTGTTCGTAGTCTGAGAAGGAAAATTATGCCCTGCAGTTGTTTCCGTTTTTGGGTGCAAAAAATAAGAATCCCGTTGAAAGGAGCCAAGTGCAAGCTCGTCGAGATAAAGCCCACAATGTGATGTTGTGAGGTTTGACACCCCTTTTCAAAGGGATGTAGAGGAATAGGAAGGGTCCATCCCTTTATTTCGTCACTGGTAAGCCAACCACCATAATTCTTTTCATTTTAAAGCGCAGTACCGATAACTTCCACCTATTCAGCAGTGAAGTAACAACACCTTCCAAGTTGTCTTAAAGGCACATTTCAGGCACGAGTCGTGTGAACGATCCCCTTCCGCCTGTAGGATAGAGCTCAAAAAGACAACCGTGCATGGAAATCATTCGACAAGGGCGCTGGGGGCTTCGCAAAGTAAGCTGCAGCCAGCTGCACAGTTCGACATCCGCAGCAGGCTGTTGTCTGGCGCCCTCTCATCTGTTGCGCTCTCTCGCCTCATACTCTCCTCTCGCGCTCAGTCTCTCATTGCCTTAGCACAGCCGCATTACGGAGGTATGTGGTACCCTTAAATCAACTGTTTCCAATAGATCCAATCCATTACTTCACCGCTGGCCCATTTCGCTCTGGCTTCCTATACTTCGCAAAAAAATAAGCGTCCTGGAGGTCAACGTTGCTGTACTACGCAGAAACTAAGCCTCGGTGTTCGGCGTCAGGTTCGTGCCTTGGATGGAGAGCACGGATTACGTCAGTACCATCAGCAGTGCCTCATGCGAAGGACAGTACTCGAGGAGGTTACCAGAGAGCGAGCAGTCCCCCTTCCCCTTCTCTTCCGAATCTCGTATACTCATTAATAGCCAATAAAATGTGTAGCCCAACCTTTATGCAATCTCCTAAACTACCGCTACACACTTTCGGATATAGGCGTCATGAACCTATAACTTGACAGCGTGCGATAGTTCAGGAGATTACGTTAGTTTAAGAGTTGGAAGATTGGAAAACCTCTCCAAAACTTCTCTGGAGGGGTAATTCACCCTGACCACTAATTTGATGCTTGTTTCTGAGGCCGACGCCATTTCGCGAAGTTTTGCGCAGCACTTCTTTCCCCGAATTCGGTGGAAACCCACGGATGCCTCCCTGACCACGAATTTGGCACCCGACTGTAACGCTGTCGCCACCTAGCGCCAGTGCGACGCAATCTGGATTCAAATAAGCGCCACACTGGCGCCAAGTGATACCACCGTCAAAAACAAAGCTTATATCCGTGATCAGAGCGCCGAATTAGTCCTGTAGTGAAATTTCGAATAAAAAAATTCCCGACCCTCTTTGGTGTTGTTCTGTTGCAGGTATTTGGGTTGTAAGCAGGGTCAACTGTGCGTTCGCACTATTCGAACGAGGGGGTCGCATTTGTGGTTCTGGAAGGATGAGGGGGAGGCACTTGGGGGATGAATGGAATAGTAATTGGATAGTAATTTGTGAGTGAATGGCGAGGTGATTTAAATTGGTTGGAAGGAGAGAAAATTTGCCGTTTCATAGCACCAATATGCTTCCTCCCCCCCCCCCCCGCGAGGAAAAGGGGCCGAAGTTGGGGCTGTGTCGACTGGTCTCGGAATCAAATACTATAGAACCAGCTATGGTGGCGAGCGTGGCGTGGTGGTCGGGTAGGGAGAAGGGTGGTCGTATTAAGGGAGTTCCTGAGCCTCATGGTAGTGGTGTGGGTCGCATCGAGGCTCTCCCCCCCCCCTCCCACTACCACAATGAGACGAAATTTTTGAAAAAGTGCGAACGTCACGGTTGACCCTGGTCGTAAAAATAAACTGCTAAGGTGTTTTGCAGTCAGTGGTCCTAACCACTGCTTAGCTCCAGATACTGAAGTATTACATTGCCAAAAGTATCTGGCCATTTTCCTTTGAATCACCAAAGTGTCCTTATTGGGACGACACCGCTCGATCGATCGATTCTCTGGACGGACTTATACCCATACCCTCGCTGTGGGCGCTGTCTTGGAGTAACTGCTTATAAACCTTTTAATTCAAAACAACAAGTCTGTATTTGATATCAGCAACGGGAATACAGTAGAATCATACCATTTTGAATACAAAACTCAAAACAAACTTTCCCTTGATCTTCACTACCACTGCGTATACGGTAACCGCCTTGATCTACCATCGATGCCATCGGCCGCCAAAAAAGACGCGATCCGCCGAAATCGAGGGACCGGCAAAAAGTCGAGAGACTGTGGACATCGCGAGAGGACAGACGGCCATACGAGGGGTCGGCTTCAAGCATCGAGCGTCCGTAGAAATGAACTATCACAAACACAACTGTGCATTAAAAGCCAATAACAAAGGAGGATTCAGATAAAAGGCGGTACAAATTGTGCATCATAGCATAGTGCTTTCGGTGCCGTATCCAAATATGGAGAATTTCTTGAATTACAGTGGTGGAATGGGGAGAAGCGCAGTATGTCTCAAAAGGGATGTTTTATGAGGTTTCGAATGCATTGCCACCACAATGCCGCCGTTTATCAAATGTTTATCAAATGTTTATCATTTATCAATTGTTTATCAAATGAATAGAAAAACTTGGGAGAAAGTTAGATGCGCGAAAACTTGATGGCAGCTGATGACCGGCGACTGCTTACTTACTGCTGGCCTCTCATCCAGAGTCAACCCTGCGTTGCGCAGTTCGCAACGGCACGTTGAGAGATCCTCAACGCACGCTGTATGGGCGGAGACGCAGACGGCTCGAGCATGCGAGTGTGAATGTTCGCGCGAGAGAACGTGTCTAATCGGGCGAAACTGCGCAACGTGGCCGTTGAGAACTGCGCAACGCAGGGTTGACTCTGCTCTCATCCCGAGCAGGGCTCATACAAATCCAACAACAGCACCGACTCGTGGTTTTTGCACAGTGCAGCAACAATGACCCCCCCCCCACCGATGCTTCTTAGCAAAAAAGGGGGCCAGCAGTTGACGAAATCAAATACATAATCGAGGATGCTCTGGATCCGTAGCACGCCTCAGCATCGAAGACACGGACTCGACAATGGCGACGCGATGACTTACACACGCTGCAAGCTTAGTGCGTTGTGCGCGACGCCGTGTCTCCACAACATGTACCTCCTGACCGACACCTTTGGCATGTTGCAATGCTTCGAAGAGATATTCTTTCCATTTCAAAACATCGAGAACCAGATTTGGTTAGTCCTAGAGTTTACAACACTTTACAATGACCATATGTGTAACATCTTTATTTATGATGACAAGGAGTTCAAACTATGCATATCACATTTAAACATAAAACGGCCCATACTGCATCCAAAGAATTTCTAGTCAACTTTCGTGTATTTGTAGAAACCTTCGCCTGATTTCCGTCCAAATTTGCCTTCTTTTACCAATTTATCCAGTGTTTTGCTAGGAGTGAATAGAGCTTGTGATGGTTCCCGCTCATGCCATCCTGAATATGTTCAAATATGTAGTTTTAATCATAACGACATTGACACCTGCAATCTTTTTCCGACTTGCGTCATCAACAGTTTCCTTACACAAAAAAAACATGAGAATATCATTACAATTCAGCAAGGGTTCGCCAGAAGCGAAGCAGGCTCATCGCTGCGGCTCGCCTGGGCCAGTTTCTAGAGATCTGGCCCAATCTACCCGTTAGGTGCCACAGCTATGAACGCTTCTATTGCTATACAGAATAGATAACGTTGACTTGATAACTGCCCAATTGAATAGTAGGACAATCCGCCAAGTTCTCAACTAACAAAAAATACCACTACCAAGCAAACTCACCATCCATTATGAACTTGGTAGTATCAAGGCCTACGTAGTCAGTCAATTCGAACGGTCCCATTGGGTAGCCTGCACCGAGTTTCATCGCCACGTCTATATCCTAAAATAGGTACTTCATCGTTATAATAGAAGACTCGAAGTCTTTTAGCAAAGCAGGCCTACTTTATGTAAGCCAGCAGTTCCGATGGGACACATACTCACACCCAAATCAATATATCAATCGAAACCGCCGGATTGGTATAACAATTCCCGCAGCTAACGCAAGAGAGGGTGGTTGACAGTGGACACACACAGATGTACACTAAGACATACTTATACTACATATAACAAGATAATATCGATTGGTAGCGAGATATTGCAAAAAAAATGATCAAAAAGAATTTGTAACGCTTCCCACAGATTTTTAGCTCTACGACTCCGGACGTCATTAAATGACTATCGATAAAGCCATGCCTCACCACTTTGGTTATTAAGGCTTCCAATTAGTTCTTAAACCGCTAGATCAAAATACTACCACAAATCCTAACACTTGCTGAAGTCAATAGTAACCCATCGAAACTTCCTGCTCAAAAGTAAGCTCCAACTCAGTACTGATTATTCCATTGAATACTCAGAAATAACCACTGATACACTGAACAGATACAGTAGTCTGGCTTACCAAAAAGAAGGATTCAAAGGTAACTGTAGAACTACCTCCATAGAAGCATCACCGCGGTCGACCATTCTGAAAGCCTCAAACATGTACGGTACGAGTAATCGATTCACTATGAAGCCTGGAGTATCCTAAACGCAACATTGGAAAATTCATATCTAATAAAACAACAAATTAATTAGGGCACATTATCATCAATCGTAGAATAATCCTTTTCAAGACCCAGTTCGCAATTTTTACGTATTTCAATCAATCATACAAAGACATTTTTACGGATTCCATAGAAAATCCCTGTTTCCAGAACGCCATGAAAACACCAGCAAAACCCTCATAACCCTCATATCATCAAGTACTGCGCTACAGCTGAGACGACTGCAGCAAAAATTATAATTGAAAAGAACGGAGAGCAATTCCTCATCATACTCAATAGAATCACATCACTGAGAAAAAAAAAGAAACAGAAAGTAATAAACAATCGAGGAGAGATCGAACACAACTTACTTTGCACGTGACGGTTTTCTTTCCGATATTCCTGCCGTATTCCATGAGACTTTCAAACGTTTCGTTTGACATTTCATCGTGACGAACAATCTAGAGATAACCTCCTGGACAGAAAATAGCTAGCAGACACGATCTTTTTGTTTTATATAAAGAACCTCAGCTACATCTTACCCCACCGCCTCAAGAAGAAACACAGTTATTGCGTTCTAATACTCCTCAAAATATCAAGGCAACCTTTGACTTGTACCATACGATCTTTGTACTTCCTAGTCCCGTCATCAGGCCTCGGATTCATGGATTTAGAAATTTGAAGTTAATTATTCAAATCGACGCTTCTCAAGCACTTGCTCGAAAACATTCGAAACCTGAGAAACTGTGTCTACGAGACAATAACATCCAAGCTAGGAAGTTTGAAATGAAATGAGTGAACGAAGAATTGGGCGCGCTGGAGCTCAGCGCGTACGCGCCGAACTGCCGATGAAGAACTCGCAAAAATGGGCGCGAAACCAAAAAAGCACAGGAAGTGCAATAACCAAATGCGAGAATCAGATTATTGATTTATGCCCCTCCTTTTGAAATGAACCCAAGTATCAGTTTTCGCAAAAATTATTTACTCCACAGTTTCCAATAGTGACAAATAAAAAAAGCTCCAGATTCACTACAATTAATTCCGTTCAATAGTAAATCAAAACCCACCTCAAGAAGTTTCATAACTGGCACTGGATTGAAAAAGTGAAGCCCGCCAAATTGACTTTTTGCTTTGAGATTGATAGCAATATCAGACAAACGAAGTGACGAGGTATTAGTGGTCAGAATAGCTGATCTATAAAATTATCCATTAAGATTCAAACTCAATGTCAGATGGTAATATGAGCTCAAAAATGAACTCACGGCTTCGCTATTTTCTCGATTTCACTGAACAACTTCCGTTTCACATCTATATTTTCTACGATTGCTTCGATAATTAAATCCGCGTCTTTTATGGCCTTTTCAAGCGATGTTGTCGTGTGTAGCCGAGATAGAGCACCAGCCACAAGCGCTTCTTGAGCCTGACAAAAGCATAGATTTTGAGCTCAAATGTAGGAGTGGAGGTGCGAAGTGAACAACCAGTTGGAAAAAAGAATGAAAAGAAGAGCGAGGTACCCCAACGTAGACAATAACTATGATTGCACCGTTAGCAACACAAGCAACCTAACCGCAAACGCTAAAGGACTCCTCGGCGGGGCTGTATTTGCCCGCTGTGGGAAGTGGAGGAGTTGCAAAAAAAGAAAAATTTGATGTTCGACCAGTCATAAACACGCTCCCCTTCACCCTACGACTTTTTTTTATTAAGAGCTCCGGAGGCAAAGCTGGAATGTATCAGGAAAGATCAGGGTGCGCAGATCAAATCTTGTCTCGGCAAAACATAATAGATGCAGCAAATCTGTGATACTCTGAGCTACTGCACTTTTACGCCACCGTCGACCAGAGGGATAATCAGGGAGGGGACCGTTAAAAGGCCTCCGTTAGAGATTGAGGTCGTTAGAGATTGATGCACACCCTGGATGTTCACATTGTCCAGTAGACTAGATAATACTCTAGCGCCATTGCCGTGCCCTATCACATTGCAGCAGTGTAACGCATTCTTCCTCGGTGGATGGTTCTACATAAGCAACGTGAAATAAGATCAAGCTGGACCACCGTGGACGTGCCTTCAGAAGGCAAAGCCATCACGATTCTTGAACTGTCCGCTTACGTACTGTAGACAGAGCCAGAGCTATCGAAATATGTTTTGATTCTAGAAAAAGACTCCGTCTTAGACAAGTTTGCACAACCGCGGCCGCATGCTGTTTTTTTCGGAGATGAATAGTTCACTCAAAAGACTTCTTGAAGAGAAGCACTGTGCACGAAAAAAGGTTTAGGGAGGTAACCTTGGGGAGAATCAGAGCGCAATAATTCGAGCCCTTTTTTTGAAGTTTCCGACATTGAAAAAAAACCCTACAGCCCCAGATACTCGCGTGCGGTTGGAAAGCGTTCATTGACTCATAGAGGGAAGAGCGCAGAAAAATACACCCTTGGTTTGTTAGCGCTGTTAAGACTACTGAGTAAACACATAAACGCTATGCTTCTTCGGGCAATCAGCCCCGTTTTTGGCAGACCTCGAGAGATGGTACAGGTTTGATACCGAGAATTCGCACTGAATACAAAGGAACTTACAGTCTTATCGTCAGCATGCTTCTTCTTGGCAACTCGTCGCAAGTTTGTGTCAATGCTTTTTCGAGCTTTGTCCAAAATTCCGTCAGACTGGTCCACTAAGGACACATTCAGTTTTGCAGCTGCTGTAACCTGAACATATTAGTGGTAATGGACCTCACATCAATGAGCTAAGCACCTGTTATACGTTATATATGGAATGTCATGAGGATATTTCAACATGCCAACAACTTGCGTTAGCGTTCAACTCAAACCTTTTGAAGACAGTGATCACGATGGCTGAAGGGAGGAGCGGTTTTGATGACGTCATTGAACTTACTCGTGGAAGAGCGTTAAGAGGCCGTCTCAAATACACCCCAGCGAGATTAACAGTCAAGTCCACCAATGACGTCCTCAAAACCGCTTAGGCTTTTAGGCTCCCAAGGCTTAGTCCCAATAAGACACAAAGTGTGTGCTTTCCCAGCTACGCTCTCACCCTTTGGTTGACAGAAGCCTTGTAACCGTGCTGGAGGAATTGAATAACTTCGGGGAGAATGAGAAATGCTCATGCACCGTGAACCCCCTCCCCCAAATCCTAGTTCCCGAAACTACGCATTGCATCAGTGTTTAGAAGCTCTCTAAACGTGACTAGGGATGGGGAACCTGGATTTTTTTTTTGGTTTGGGAGTTTGTTGTCTCTACTTTTAGGCACTGTTAGTTCTGTTAAGTCTTTTCTGTATAAGGTTTGCGTTATTCTGAACAAATGTTTACAATACAAAGCGCTCGAAATGCACTGGATTCCCCGCATAAAGATGCCCCCCCCCCTCCGCACTCCGACGACATCTGCGCCGATCACTAAATGTCACCCCCGAAGATACTGCTTGTTCTCAAGGCTTCGATCCAACAATACGACCACGTCAACTATTGATGGAGTAATGTTGCTTTGTATTAGGTTGTCTCATAAATAGTGTCGCTTTTTTTCAACCAAAAAATTTTCATCTAAATCCCCATGCTTTTACATCGAGTCATATACCATTCGAAAGAGAATTGTCTGCTCTACAAGATGTTGTGTTCTTCTTCCATCTATGTTCCATGGTTTTCAAATTTTAGGCCTGCGAAATGGGAGGTCCAGCCGACAAAAATTGACCAAACCGACAACTAGCTCTAACTTTATTTTCCCTGGGAGAAATCAATCAATGATGTACCCTCTACTTACTCATGACCTCTTCTGAACATTCCACCCTTAGGTTGCCGAAAAAGGTTTGCCCTGTTTCTTTTCGAAATTGGCCGACCGATAAGCCATGGCAATTTTCAAATTGAAATTCTTCCTCTGAAACGCTATTGTTTTATATCAACTGGTGTATCTTTTGTGAGCACTTCTTCTGCTCTATTCGCTCATTTGTTTTGTTTTGATGTTTGTTAGGAATTAGCTCGAATTTTAGGGTTTAGGAGTAAGGTGCTTTGTCCACAAAAGTGACCGCATTTCTTTGAAAGAAATTATCCTTGAGAAGATGAGAAAATCAACCAGGCGTACATTCCTAACTTAGTCATGACTTGTTCTTTAAATTCTACTAGTTTTTCAATGTCTCGGCTATAAAAAAATTTCGACCTCGATCTCAGGTAATGGTGCTTGACCGTCGAGTTCTGGTTGAAAAACCAGGTCTGGAAATGGAATGACGCGACTTGTTGGGAAACCTAATAGTGTAATGTTTAGAAGAGGTCATGCATAAGTAGAGGGTACATCATTGATTGATTTCTCCGAAGGGAACATAAAGTTAGAGCTAGTTGTCGGTTTGGTCAATTTTTGTCGGCGGGACCTCCCATTTCGCATGCCTCAAATTTGAAAACCATTGAACATAGATGGAAGAAGAACACGATATTTTGTAGAGCAGACAATTCTCTTTCGAATGGTATATGACTCGATGTGTAAAAGCATGGGATTTAGATGAAAATTTTTTGGTTGAAAAAAAGCGACACTATTTATGAGACAACCTAATACTTTGCCTGAGGTTTTAAGGTGGAAGATTTATTCTGGCCAACGTTTCGACCGTTTCGCTACTAATGTTTACTAACTGAGTGTAGTATTTCGCCACACTTTGCGGTGGAACAAGGCCTTGAAAACGACGGAACGGTCGAAACGTTGGCCAGAATAAATCTTCCACCTTAACAACCTCAAGCAGAAGTACAATCAACAATTACAATAACAACGAAGATGCCGAGGTTTCAAGATGAGAGAACTTGGAACTATTGTTAGTATCCTAGGAAAAAAACGAACGACAACGGTTTTGAACTTCTTGGACGAGCACGCTCGCCGGAGCTTCCGTGTCAACCCTCATGTGAGAAAAGGCCAAAAGTCCATCGAAACTAGTAATGTTTACCTGTGCAATTCCTGATCCCATGAGACCAGCACCGACGATAGCCACATTGTTTATTTTAGCAAATGGTACACTAGTTGTCGAAAACTGCCGACACAATGACGAAGCTTTCGTTGACAACATCTGAAAAACAGAAAATCAAACTGATCCAAGTAATAAGCTTGAAAAGGTCACATAGAAAATCCTTAAACAATATATCATAGCAGTGACGTGAATGGGCGTTATAAGTTTCTGAAGGCATGTGCTTTTAAGTTCAATTTCAATGCTACTTGGGTAGCCTGAGATGAGAGTGGAACAAGGAAGAGTTGCGGCTAAACTGTGATGGACTGTATGGACATGTCTAGCTCACTAGAATCAATAACTGTCCGGTCACTGTTCGGAATTCACTAAACTGTACAACAACATCCGAAAAAATGCGCAGTTATCAGATGGATCGCTGCAGAAATTGCAGGTTGATAAGACTTTCCGACGATCCCAGCACTTAAGGACGCAGCCTTGTAAAGGTCTGTGGGCATAACTATCAGAAGAATCGGATCGAAGAAGCGCAAAATAGTCAAGATTTCCGAACACGGACCCGTTTAGAACCACGGCACCGATCAAAAGTCCACAGAACAACCGGAAGTGCCTGATCAATACATCGGCAGCAGGAGTGAAAAGTGTACGGATCATGGACGCCAGCATCAGAGTAACGTGGACAGAGAACGAACGCCAGCACGGGCACCCGAACGCTCATCAATGGTACAGACAGAGCACACTCGCAACGACATTTCCTACCCTTATCTCATCGGCTGGCCTTTGAATTGAAGGGTTCCCGCGCGCGCACGAGCCAGTGGATTCGACGGAGTGGGTCATGGTGCAGGAATCGAAGGCAAAACTCAACCCTCCATTACTTGCAGAATTTATACTGGGTTTCATCCAGTAAGGGGGGAGGGCATTGTGATTTGAACGCGTTACGCGTTTAAAACCATAGAAAGTATTTTTATCGTAAATGTTTAAGACTAAGCCTCACAATGGAGGGCGACCCGCGTCCTTGAGCAATGCTTACTCCTAGCTGCTCACTAGGTGAATATCACTTTTTCATTCAGCTCAGGGTGCTAAGTGGGTTGGGGGTACCACGCGGCGACGCGGCTGTTCCTCTGCTCCTCCAAGGCTTAGTCCGCCAATGGGGCGTATTTCGAAACTGCCACGTGGCGACGAAATAGTGCCCCTTGGACCAAGCCTGGGAGGAGAAGGTTGTATGACATCTAATCCTTTTGGTGTGGAGGGAACCTGGTAGTAAGTAAGAATGCGTGAGCCAGGGGGAATGGGGCCAATTCAGGGGGTGGGGGTGTGTGAGCCACTTAACCTGGTGGCAAA